AAAAGGTTGTAGAGGAGACCATGAATCAATTGGAAAATCTAACCCCATCATGCAAAGAATCAGAATTTATGGATCTAAGGTATGTTTCCGCTTTTATTTTGATGTTCTCATTGATTTCAACATGGATGGTTAATTCGGTAATGTTTGATTATTGATGTTTTGGATCGATAATCACTTATAAGTTTTCTATCAGAATTGCGAAAGTAGGATGAACGTCACAAACTCATTGATTCAGCATAATACTGGGATTTGATCAAGAATTGAAAGAAAACTCAAAATTTTTCCTAATTTAATCGAAAACCATTCGAGACAAACATACCTGTGATGTTGAAGTCATACCAGGAATGTCTAATTTAAATTGCACTCTAGGTCTTTAAATAAATGAAGTCCTACAATCCCTTCACCCTTTTGTTCACCTATATGTTGTAATGCAGTGTTCTCTCAAATTTGTGAACATATCATCAACCCACTTATCACAATGACGAGAATCCCATTTGGTAAATTGGGATGGACAATATTATCGATTCATCTTCACAGCACGATAGATATCATAGTTCTCCATTAGGATTTCATTTGAGGATCCTTGAATTTATCAAGCACAAAATTAGATGAGTATCAGATAAGAAGTATACACATCTGGTGCTAGTTCACGAAAAACTTCGAAAAAGCTCGTGATTATGAGCTCATACAAATTATTCCTTCCTCTAGCATTTGAACTTGTAAAAGCATATTATCGATGATGGTTCCATTTCGTTCTCCATATGAGGCAATTTTTCATATAGCAAATATGGAATTACTTTTATCAAAACCCCGTCAAATATAATAAAGTTGAGATTTAAAAGTACGATTTTGAAGATTAAGAACTAATTAGTAGGAAATGCTTAAGGTTTGGGAGTAAATATGCAATGTTACCAAAATTCTGGGATAATCCGCGATAGTCCGAAGTTCCACCGTCTCTCTCTCCCCTCCTCTTTATGGATTCGTTCTCCCATATCTTCTCTTTTTGATACATTACAAATTGCTACTGGTAGGTACAATTCTTTGCATAAAGAATAAGCAAATTTTTTTCTTATTTTCTATATTTAGTTGTAGATAAATTTTTACAGTTACGCGTAGATTCATCATATTTTTGATATTTTTGGATTAGATATATAAAGAAGATAATGGCGAAAAAGAAAGCATCGATGACGCTCAAAGACTTCCACGGAGGTTCAATTCCTTCCAATCTCCCTCTCCCTTCTGCCCCTGGCGTGTGAGTTTCTTTTACCCTTTCAATACCCATACGCGGACACCGTAGCTTCTGGAATTAAGATCTATTTTTATTTTATACTTCGAATTTGGGCTTAATTTGGTGTCTTGCGTTTCAATTTTAAAATTCCCATGGGTCGTAGATAGGAATTTAATTAAGTTTGTAAATATTTTCTCTTAGATTTTATGCCAGATTAGTTGACTTGTTTATCGGTATTAGTTTTCTGAATCTAGATTATCTTATTTGTTGATCCTTGAATGAAAGCATAGAGTTTTTCCTCACTCTGAATGTTATCTCTGCTCAAGTATCTGATTTTGTGTATGAATAGTCTAGATCTACCTCTTCATGTATTTATCATTTGAAACCCTTTTGGATTCTTGTAATGCAAAACCCTTATGAATTTTAAGTAAATTTATTGGGATAAGTTGTGTCTAGGTGTGTGTACTTCATTTATTCAGTAGTTCAAACAGTAAATCTGTGTAGGGGAATTGCAATTGGAAATTCTTACTAATATTGATGTTTTTGCACAGAATTGTGAGGCCTGCAGATTGTGGTGGTTTTGATCGGCAGACTTCATGGGGGAATTCATTTGGAAGGTCTGAGCATAGGTTGCGTCCAGCATCATCCGGGTCTGTTAGGAAATTTGATGATAAGGCTTCATTTTTAACTCACAATGAGCACATCGGTTCTCATTTTGATGAAGATGAACGTAAGCCTTTGGATGCAGCAGGTACCCGACAAATTTCCAGTGATGAGGGCACTCGTGCTGTACCAAGTCGTGTGGCGGATCCTAAGATGGATTATCTGTCTGGTGCTAAAGCTGGTAGTCAGTTGGGTTCAACTACCTTATCTCAATTTTCAAGTGGTGTAATAGGTAGTTCTTTTGCGGGGATGCTTACTGAAGTACATAATGTGGGATTGAAGAATCAAATTAGTAGCAGTAGGAATGGCACTGTTAGGGTGAATTATCAGAATGTGGGTGGAAGTTCTGAGCAGCCGGTTGCTGGGTCCCATCAGAATGCATGGGGAGGAAGGAAGGAGATGGCAGGTTTAAGGGAGCCTGTATCTGCTGCATGGTCAGCTCCAGATGCCGCATCGAAGTTGGCTCATGCCAGTGCTCTTGAGAAAGTCTCATCTGGTCGGTGGCACTCGAAACAGCTGATTCATCCTCAAAATGATGTTCAGCTTATTGGACACCTGGTACACGAGAGAGAGACTAATTACGAGGCCAATGATATACTTGATAAGAACTACTACAGAATAGATGTGGTAGGTGGGACCGACTATCAAGATGTTGGATTGGCAATACATGATGAGAGGAGTCTGGTTGTTGGAGATGAAGCTCATGTTGGTGGTAAAGATATATCACCTAATGAGAGTGCCAGGTTTACCATGTATATGGACACGGATATGAGGAAGCCTTCAGTTAATGCTAATGATTTTCAGCCTGTTTGGACTGCTGTAAAATCTGGTGGGAGTGAGTTACAGTCAGAAGTGCCTTTAGAATCATCAGAGAGGCCCAAACTTAATCTACTTCCTAGATCCAAACCATTGGAGAATATAGATATGATAGTTGATTATAAGCAGCAGGTAAAATTAGAGCGTCCAAAACAGAATTTCAAGCCTCAGTCACAGCCTATTGAACAATTAGAGAGAAAAACTGAAATCAAAAGGTCGACCAACTTTTGCTAACTAGCTTGCCACATAATTATATAATATTGGTTTGTTTTATTCCAGAATTTCTTCGAACTCTGTTTGATTTTTTTTTTTGGTTGACCTGGTGATTCTTACCCCTTTTTTTTTCCCTTTGAGCTGCTGCTGTTGTTCCTTCCTTTTTGAAATTTTTATTAAAACAGATGTACAATTTAGAAAGCCGGCATGTATATAAGCACGAGATTGCATGTTTTTTAGCCTATATGATTAACTACACACACTTAAGGCAGTTTGAAAACAAATGGTAGCTTAGTTTCTAAATTAAACAAATATCTGGCATGCACTTCACTGTATAAGTTTTCTTCCAAGTTCTCTACTCCCTTACAGCATCTAGTTATGATTAACTATTTTTAAAGACAGCTTCCATGTCTACGTTACCCATTACCCAATTTTTCACCCGTTAAAACAATTATTATGATTGTCTTTCCTTGGCATATTTGATAATAAAGGTACTGATATTTTCACTCATATCTGTGGATGATAATAAATCTGATAGGGCTTCGAATTTTGAGCCATAAAACAGTTGATTTATACTTTATTCTCTAATATAACCCAAATATCACTCGAGAAGAATAAATTCTTTGGGATATGAGCCTAATGCCTTGAGAGAAGCCCCAAAAGCAGAAGTATGTGCTTGATAGAACATAGGCTTCCCCAAAAATTTAAGGCACTTTTGACGAGTCTCACCTTGAGTTATGCCTCCCAATAAATGTGACTTGATATACTGGTAGCAATTTGCTGTTGTATGAGCAACAGCAATAGCTATTGGAGGATTGTCCGCCTGGTTCAGCTTCTAAAATTCTGTTTGGATTTACTCAAATTAGTAGTAGATATAAAATGGATAAATTTACTGCATCCTTTGGGAACATGATTTACATATTTCTTGCGTTTTTTCATTGGAATTTTATTTGTTTCCAGTTGGAAGTTTCTTGTTTATTCTAACTAGTTTGGTTTGTTGTCGGTTTCAGGAATGTTGTGTTTGGAGGTGCTCGACCACGAGAACTGGTAAGTTAATTTTCCTATCATTCCAAGTCAAGATGATGTAAGGAATATGTGGTGTGTTAGGAGTACAGTTCTTTTGTTCTTTTGTGTTTGAGAAACATTAGGGTCTGTTCTCTTTACCATTTTCAAGCCATTTTCTGTCTTCGATTTTCCAAAATAGTGAAAACGCGTTCTCTTTCCTATTTTCGAAAACGCATTTTTGAAAACAAGTTAAAAATTTATAAAGAGGTGTTTTCAGTTATAATCAAGTCAAAATTTTCAAAACGCATTTTTTGTGTTTTCAAAAAAAAAAAAATTTCAAAATGCCAAAAAGAACACATTTTCAATAATCTCAAAATGACCACTCAAAACACAAAACTGAAATACAAAGAGAATAATCCTTTATTTTTCTCCTTTGCTTTTACACTTGTGAAATTACATTAAAAGTCATTTAAATAGTTTTGGATGCTCTGTTGGTTTTCACGAATCAATCTCATGGGGTGACACTGCGCTGTACTCCACACTCCTTCCCCCCTCCCCCTTTTCTCCGTCTAAGGTCTATAATGATCTTGAATAGATGTTCTATTAAATTTCTTGATCTTCTAATGCAATTGCTCTAGCTCGAGCACATGTTCTTACTTTACCAGGGATTGCGTGGCTTAGTTCTTATATTATTAATGGATGGTTGTGGCTTTTTTATGTGCCTTATTTTCCAGTGTTCGTAGGTTGGCATTATTATCATTTTACTTAAAGTCACTCCTTGTATTAGGTTCTGAAGGAGCGAGGAATCGGCGATGCTGCTCCAAGCAATTATGGCGGTGAACTTTCCTCTAGGTGCTGCATTTTTCTCATTTCCTTTTTAACATTTCCTTGATTGGGAAGCATACTGATAGGAGAGATAACAGGATGGATGTTGAAAGGACTGATTCGCAGAGGAGGAACTGGCAAAATGAAAATTGGAGAAACAAGGAGATTGAGAGGCACCCCAATCAGCAACAAGGGAGGCCACCATCACCCGAGACCTGGCGCAAATCTGTTGAACATCAAAATCTGGCATCTCCAAGTGCACCTGGGCAGCGTTATGGGAAAGCAGCTTCTGCAGTTGTGCTTGCACAGGCCTTCTCGAAATCAGTCTCTGATCCAACTGTTGCCAATCGTCTTTCAGGGCCAAGTGGCATTCCCAGCCAGGGTCAGGTGCCTTTTTCTCGACTAGTGGGTCCAAGGCCCCAGATTAATGGTTACTGAAGTATTGAGATGATTGATATGTTTAAGAATGTCAAGAAAACGTCGGCCCTGCAAAATACTTGGATGTGCAACCTCAAGCGAAGACATCGTATTTGCAGCAAAATTGTTGTCTTGAGATCATCTTCCCTTTTGTTCATCAAGGGAATTATAGTTGACAAGTGGTTCCTTTGGTGTTGAAATTTGAAGCTCCTAAACCTTCAAGCGAGTTCAAACCCACAAAAGAGAACCAACCAATAAAAATAAACATTTGTGTTGTAATCACTTGGCATATTTTGAACCAATTAAAAATGAAATTCTGAATTTCTTTTACATGCCCCCACAGAAAATTGCAGGGATATATGTTCAATAATCAATGAAATTATTATACTTTGTGTCCTCATGAGGAATTCCAAATCCATCTCCATACTGGTATATGCATTGAGCAATCTGTGCTAGATTCATTGCAGTACTAGCGAAATTAGTATAGGGGCTGTCCATCAGTACATTTTTATTCATTTTCTTCAATAAGAGACCTGATGTATTCTCTAGCATCCTCTTCAAAAAAACCTGCGAGCATGTAATATTGGATTGATTTTGGAATGTCTCCTTTCTTGATCTCGTACTGGATATGGTGTTGCGTGAACAGAAGAAAGGGGGACATAAATAAAATAATATTTTACCTATGAAAATTATGTTAAACAAGCATTATTCGACAAGACTGTACAGTAATAAGAATATGATAAAGTCTCTGTGTGCCAAATTTATAAATGGTTTATCTAGAAGAATAGTATTGGATCCCATGAAATGTGTATAATAATGAGTAGTTATGAATATGTGTAGTCGAAATTAATATTTTATTTTGACTGAATGTATAAACCATTTATAAATTTGTATCCAAATGGAAGCTTAACTTTCTTGTTCATATGACTATCTAGTCATCGCTAGTAGTGTGCACCGAACATCTATATGCTTAGGAGTTGAGTTTGTGTAGAGATGAAGTTTCTAATTCATTAGACGAAGAACCAGTGCTGCCCAACAAGTGACACCAGGGTATCGCACCAGATGTCCCAGATCGTTCTTTAGTATATGCAAAAAATAAGAATGAAAAAGAATCACAGGGTCAGAAAAAATATCCAGGCTGTGATGAGGAATTCACTCAGCTGGGGAAATACCAGGTGTAATACCATCTTGATTCGATTAGAAAAAAAACTCTACAAAGCTCCACCAACCGGTGTGTATATGTAACCGTATAGGAAAAACAAATTAGCATGTAATATATGGCTGCAGAGGAAAAGTGAATAATATACCAATTTCCGCTTTTTTGAAATTATGTTGAGACCCTGATCTTTAAGAACATCATAAGCCAATGTTTACTGGGGTTTATTAGGTTTCTATTTGTAATTGGCTATTCATTAGACAAAATTAAAGTAATGAGATTTTAATTAAAGTCAAAGTAGTTAAAGGTGTCAAAGATGTCCAAGAAGTTCGCATATGATCAATGGAATGTAATTAGAAGCCAGATGAGTGTCAAAGTATTGCACAAGTTCTGCTCAAAATTCATTGTAATATCCCAAAAATTTTAGAAAAAATAACGATTATTCCATATTTATACTTTTTATTGTTATGAACATTTCATGTAATATAGTAAAAAGTTATGTTAATAATACTATAATTAATTGGATAATTACCATGTGGAAATATAGAGCGTATAAGGTGGCTACCCTATACATAACATCTTGCCACACTAAATACTTAAGTGACAAATGGGATAATAGGGTTTAAGGTGGCAAAGTAATGATTAATGAAAAATAAATAAATTATTAAGTAAATTTCTAATTACCACTGTAAATAGGGAAGAAAGAGAGAAAATAAACATACAACAAATTAAAAACCAAAGTAACTATTACGGAAAGCATTGCAACTTAAAGATGAGTAATCTATATCCATTTCTATTTCCAAGCATATATTATAATTATGTTTATTGAATAACCATTTTTTTAAAAGTTGATTATAGATTCAAGATTCTACCCCTTGACTTTGCATTGGATATTTACATTGTATTGGATATCCCTTGATATGATCATTGATTATACACCAAATTGGTGTAATTGATTAAAGAGCTCATATATTGTTCTTCTAACTTTGTGCGCATGGGTAGAATTGAGCATCTATAATTGAGCCCATTGTTTTCCTTACTCTATTTCAAAAATGGAAATAAAATAGTATGGCTTACTCGCTGAATAAGTGTATTCACATTATATGTTTATCAATTTTTTTTGTAGATGGTCAGTACTGAATATATTGACCTTACTTCGTACGAATGAGTTACATCGGAAGACGNACAACTACTATAATGTACCTATTTACAGTTAGTTTTCCTGGGGAATAAACATGTCGATGTAATCTTTATGTAATATAATGGTACAAATATTTTAGTTATGTACGGTACGTAACGCAACTTTTGTAATGCAACTTTTGCCTAGTTGCTAAAATGTTTTGCTGTAACAAAGTATATAATAAAGCTTTTTTTAACTACCTTATAATTGGTGTTATATATATATATATACCTTTCAAAGGACAATGTTTAAGAAAAAAATAAAATAAATAAATATATTGATATTGAAATCCTTACACTAGAACTGCCAAAAAGTTTTCTTTCAAATCACAAAATTTCAAAATTTCTGAAATTTCTATACATAAATTCTAAGTAAGAGACGAGACTAGGAGATTACAATTATGGAAGATTTGGGGGATTAAAATTATGGTATTAGAGCCCATGGTTTTAAATTCAATCTTTTGACGTGACATACATGCAAAATTTCGTCTTCCGACATCCATTTACAAGGTAAGTCTTATATGTGTGTGTGTGTCTCTCTGTGTGTGTGTGTGTGTGTATATTCTTCCTTCTAAACCATACATAGTTACTCAATGAAATAAGGGATTTCCTGACAAAACGGAAGGACTAGTTCTAGGCACTGGAAATTGAAGGAAGATTTACCTTTAGATAAGGTCAACCCTAAATAAAACTATCTGATAGTTGATTTTTCAATTTTTGAGAAAAATTTATAGATTATTAATGGATATTGTTATACAATAGACCAGGAAATGTCTCAAAATAGTCAAGGTGATAGTAACATAGCATCAATTGAGCATTTGACTCGATTGGTCCGACGTCAAGCTCAACAGATAAATCAACTAATCAACAATTACACTTCCAATGGAGAATCTTCCAGAACCAAGGAAGAAAATAATATTAGTAATTGTTTCCAACGATTAAAACCTTCGGTGTATGAGGATGCTAAGGATCCAGTTGAAGCAGAAAATTGGATTCGTACTATGGAACGTATGTTTACATATAAACATATTCCGAAATTCGATAAAGTTATATGCGCGTCATTTATGTTAAGAAGAAATGACGGACATTGGTGGGGTACTTTAACCAGCATTGGAGAAGCTCAAGACATGACTTGGGAAACCTTTTGCGAAAAGTTTCAAGCAAAATATTTCTCTTCTGCAGCTAGAAACAAAAGTTAAATGAATTTCTGTTTCTAAAACAAAAATCAATGATTGTATCTGAGTACATCAAGAAGTGTGAAGAATTATCACGTTTCACAACTTACATGACCACTACTACAGAAATAAAAATTGATTGTTTCATTGGAGGGCTAAAACCTGAATTGGCACGAGATGTACAGATGTCACGAGTTCAAGGCTTGAATTTTTCTGTGGTAATAGATAAAGCCTTAATGGTAGAACAAGCAGATGCCAAAATAGCTCAAGTCCGATAAATGAAAACCTCGAACAATAGGCACTGGAATGATACCACTAAGAGTACCAGGATTGATAGAAATGTTCCTCGATTCCCAAACAAAAAGTCTCGAATGGAAGACAAACCCAAGAAAACAACGTCATCATCATGCCCTAATTGTGGAAAATTCCATAGTGGGCTTTGTCAAGTTAAACTTGGATTATGTTTTGGTTGCAGAAAAGAGGGCCATTTGGTAAAGGATTGTCCAAACAACAAAAGGAAAAATCAGCAAAAATCGAGTCCTCCTGCAGGTAGAGTATTTGCAATGGTACAACCTGAAGTTTCCGAAGATGCGAAAGTTGTTACATGTATGACGTATGTCTATACTACACCTGCTCTTACCCTATTTGATTCAGGGCCATTCATTCCTTTATATCCATGAAATTTTTACATAATCTGAATACGGAATCAACTTTAGTACCACATAATATGAACATCGTTACTCATTGTGGACCAAATCGCCATACAAAATTTATTTTGCCAAAGGCCAGGTTGTATATTGAGCATATGAAACTTCCAGCAAATCCTATCCAACTTGATTTCCATGATTTTGATATTATATTATGCATGGATTGGTTAACCACCTATGAGGCTTTAATTGATTGCAAGTCCAAAACATTGAAGCTTTTAGGTAAAAACACCATATCATTTCTAGTACCTGAGAAAACATCCAGAATTATAATTTCGGCAACTAAGGCTACCAAGCTTTTAACTCAAGGACATTCAGGGTATTGTGTAAGTCTTCATCAACTCAGTGCAGACAAAGCTATTACCCCATCAACAATAACTGTTGTCTAAGAATTTCAGGATGTATTTCCTGAGGACTTACCTGGGTTACCACCTGATCGAGAAATTGAGTTCAGCATAGAATTACACCCAGGTACTCACCCCATATCCAAAGCCCTATACAGAATGGCCCTTCTCCGAACTTAAGGAATTAAGAAGCTAATTAGATGACTTGTTGAAGTGGGGATTCATCCAACAAAAAGAAGGATGGATCCTCACAACTTTGTATTGATTATCGGGAACTTAATAAGATCACTATTAAAACAAGTACCTGCTACCCCGTATTGATGATCTATTGGATCAGCTACAAGGATCTACAATTTTCTCGAAAATTGATTTACGATTTGGATACCATCAATTGAAGATTACAAAGGAAGACGTTCCTAAATCCGCATTTCGTACTCGTTATGGGCATTTTGAATTTCTT